CTGAGTTAAAATTTTCAAATAGGTGGCAACCCTCGTCAAAAATACTTCCAACAGTTATCTTTCTTAAACCTCTTTAACTTGATACTTATATTGTAATAATTCATTAATTTTATCAATATAATTGGGTTTAAAAATTTTAAAATAGGTGGCAACCCCCCAAATTTTTGTGATATCATTGGTTCTGGTATTATAACGAATAATAAAAAAAAAAAATTATTCAAATCGGTTCAGCCGTTCTCGGGTTTTGATGACCGTGACATACGAACACAACGTTTTTATATATGTATATCTATTGATATACATAGAAGATGTCCAATGTGTGCTTTCGATTTTAATCTTTGACCACAACAAAAATTCCACATTCTACATTCGTGAATGAGCTTTCAGTTTCTCGATTACTTTTACAATTCCTTTGAGTAATTGAAAAAACTAAAGTACTCTTGGAATTCCAGGTAATGGAATTTAAAAAAAAACAATTACATTTTCAATTCCTTTCAAAGGAATTGGAAAAACAAATTACATTACTAGCACGTAATTTATTCCAATTACATTATGAAATTCCTTGTAATGGAATTGAAAAAAAAAACAATTACATTTGAAATTACTTCAAGGAATTGAAAAAGTAATCGATTCCTTTGCTGTGGGCTGAAGGAATTGATTCCTAATTACAACTCCTTGTAATCTGTAATTGAGAGTAATTTAATTCCTAAAGGAATCATTACGACCCAGCTCTGATTGTAAACTTGCTACTTCATATTTATGAGCGCCTGGTATTGTGAAATGAAAATATCGTTTCGTAAAAAAAAGATATAAAATGGACCGTGAGAGTTTCTTCATGGCATTAAAATATCATGGGCGGAGTAATTGTTCATAGTGAATGCTTTACAAAATTTTCTTGATTTTTTGGATATCCGAAAATACGAATATTAGCCGGTTCTTCATAAATCCGGATATCCGAATAATTGGCGAAACGAATATTAACCGACCATCCAGACTGTATGGATTTTATCCGTGTCAACGGATAATCCGCCTGGATATCCAGATATTCCAATATGCGGATAGTCCCAGCCCTACATACAGTATTTAAATTTTAAAATTTTCACTAATTCTTTATAAAATTATATTTTACTAGCAGACCCCGCGAACTTCGTCCCACCCAAAATTATTTTTTTTTATTGAAACTTTTTGGTCAAACATTTTCACCAACAATTCACGTTTCCGATTTTCATTGGCACATTCATCGGCTAGGATTATGGTTTGGTGGTAATTTGCCGCTTTAAATAAACAAACGAACGTGTTATGTAAGTGAAGAGGTTTTTGAAATTCTCCGATTGTGCACTATTTCATAGCATGATTAATCGCAAAACGAAATAAATTTGAAGAACTTCTTCTCTTCACTCCCTGGCAGCAACGATGATCCGGTATAGTGAATCTATCCTAGAAGCTTTATAGTATAGTTGGTGGTATTTTTAAAATGGGTGCGTTCCATTACATATTTTACGTATTAGCCAAATCGGATCATAAATAAGATTGAGTAATAACTCAGCTCCAGCGCCAACTGGCGGGTTAAATTTTTGAGACTAAACCATCCAGAGACCCTCTCAAACACACAAATTATTTCGTTAAAATCCGGACACCCATTTAGGAGGATTTCACTCTCAAACACACCTACAGAAGGATTATTAATACATTCAAAGATAGCTAAAACCCGGTATGTTTGCAGGAACCACGCCCCTTTTAAAATATCCCAATTTTTCTCCATGAGTACGGGCTTGATTTCATATACATACATACATATTTATATACGAAGCTCCATGAACACTTCCCGAGATACTTAATATGAAAAATTTGGTTTGTATGGGAGATACCATGCCCCCTTTTCCAATAGCTGCAATTTTCCTCCAAGAGTATGCGATTGACTTCATATATCGCAATGCCAAGTTCTAGTATTCTACTCTGAACACTTTCAGTGATATGCAGTAAGAAAAATTCGGTTTGTATGGGAGATGCCACGCTTCCTTTATATATCGAATTTTTTTAGCCTATAGCCATCCTTGTGACATGTGCGGCAGGTGTCCGAAATTTCAAAAAAAATCGGTTCAGCCGTTCTCGTGCTTTGCGAACATAAAAAACGGCTTTCAAAATATATATTAGTATAGATTGTATAATATACGCCATATAAGTCAAACTAAAAAATTTCGAGCAAAACTGACAAAAATTCAACAAATTACAAAAAATTTCATAAAAATTTTCCAGTTTGTAATTTTTAGAAGCCAATTTAATTTTATTATTATTTATTTTATTTATAGCTTTAATTTAAGCTTAATTGGAAGGTTCTATCACCTTTTATTTTTTTTTTTGCCCTTAAAATTTTGCCAAAAACCTGATTTTTTTACACTTTGACCTAGTTTTTCTTAAAATCTGGAGCTGAGGTAACTGTATGTATACTTAGGGACTCGTAGTCAGCACAAAAAGTCTTTCAATTAGCATTTGCCGCAACAAAATGACTGTTGCCTTGTGGAATTGCATTATTTAATATGTATACATATATAAATAACCACGGTGTCCTTGAACCAGATTCAACTGAATCGGTCTGGAACGATGGAATTTCTCATTATACTATTTAAGGGGGGTGTTCCAGTGTTCGAAAATGTGAAGTTCAAAATCATGGCAGGTGCCGATTTCAAAAACGGTAACTTTTCCGATTTTCAGGTAGGTTTTTCGATAAGGTTCTCGATGAATAAGTATATATATTTACATATATACAAGTCGATTGTATATATATTTATACATATATGTGCATATAGTGTGGGGCTGTTTCCCAACGGGCCCGGATTTTTCCTTAAATTTAGTTGGAAGGTAAAAATTATAAAATTTTGTTAAATTTGATTATTTAATAGTCACATAGCTTTTATAAAATCCAATAAATGCGAAAGCGCATGCCTAGATACACATGCAAGTGTGGTAAGGTCATTTCCGTGCAAGTGAAACATAGAACGGTTCCGAAGTCAACACGTGTTTTCTAAATGTTGTCATCGTAATGACTTTCCCATGGTTCACCAAATATTTTGAGCTCGAAATTGTAGAGCGACCTTCATAGACATTCGAGGTTATCTACAACAGGGGAAATTCAGAAATCAATAGAATACGAGTTTCTTGCATACAGTCCATCTGAGCTTAAAGGAACGCATTTGACTAATCCAATAAAAACTATTTTACGCATTCACTTGATCCGTACAACAGTATAGCAAAACAAATTCTGCCTTTAGACGAAGTTTTTGTATAAAAAAAGACATTCTCCATGAAAATACTTGGTATATGGTTTATATTATAAGTGAAAAAAACTAACTAATAAAAGAACACCCAAAAAATAATAAGTATTTATAGTTAATTTTTTTGAAGCCAGATGAAAGTAGGCCGTTAGTAGTGGACCAAAAGTTGACTATTGTATTGTTGACTACGAAATTCCCCCCAGGCCATACATGCTTATACATATCGAGCCCTAACCGCCAAAATAACGTAAGCGACTTTCTTTTTAAATTATTATTTTTTTTATTCAGAAATGCATCTGAATGCTCAAGGAATATTTCTGGAACAAAAAGAAAATTTTGAGAAAATGTCGTTTACGTTATTTTAGCGTTTCGAGCTCGATATTTAAAAAAATACTCATATACAGTCTTATTTATACTATACTTAAATGCGAAATATCGGCTGAAAATCGAAAAAGTTACCGTTTTTGAAAGCGGCACTTGCCATGATTTTGAACTTTACGTATTCCATCTCGGTAACACCCCTCCAAAATTGTCTAATCGGAAATTCCATCGTTCCAGACCGATTGAGTTGAATCTGGTTCAAGGACACCGTGTGACATCAATAATTTTATAGTGTTTCTAATGCGAAATTGACAGAGTTGCAATTGTGACTAAAAATAAAATTTTACAAAATGTATTCTGCACTCTAGGTAAGTCATTTAATGATTTAAAATTAAATAGTCTAAATTCCCCGCGAAAGGCAGCCATTTTCCGATTCCCCGCAACGAGAAAAACTCCCCGCAAGTTGGCATCGCTGCTTCAGTTATTCACAAGCTCTTCGAGGGCACCAGTCTTCAGTCCAAATGTAGTTTATCACCACTTTGTAGTTCAGTGCAATTGAAAATAACTTTTATTCACATAAAGTATATATGGATGTTTATATTATATGTTGGAAATACTTACGAATCAGGTATATTTACATATTTGCGGTAGCCGTTACACGAACGCACGGGTGAAATATTCGTGTAAACAAAGTTGCTAAAATGTTTAGATACATATTTTATATTTATCGCTCATAAATATTACCAAAATCCAATCTAGCCTACAAACCCACCTAACGGAAAAAAACCTACCCGTTTTGGTAGGATAAGCCTATGTGTGGCAACACTGGTAATCATTAAAAATTTACTGCTTCTGCTATTTTTCAGTAATCAGTAAAAGTGTACCGCTTACTGATATTTTATTCAGTAATCAGTTAAAGTTTATGAATGATGATTCTACTTCTGATTACGAGGCTGGCATAAAAACCTTGTTAACTCTGGTTCCCAAATAAATGAAATTCTCTATTTTTTCGAAATTACAACTCCATCCAGTGACGTCAGTGCCAACGCGCGAATGCGCTGACCGATTTTTTGACAACAGAAGACACCTCGTTGACCACCAGACCCATTCGCTTTACTTCCATATCCAGCTTGGAAAACGCAGGGGAAGACTATACTATACTTTAGTATAATTGCACTAGTTATTTGTGCTTTTGTTTTGAATACAATGCTTAATATGTATCAGGAGCTCTTTAGTAGTATCCCGATAGTAAAAAAACTTTGTTGAAAAATAAGAAAAACTCCAATTCCTAAGGATGTATTAATGCTGAGGAAAATAGGCTTACACTTGTTACACAGTTTAATATGATTTCCTTTAAAAACCATATGTTAATACGTATAAATTATTAATTTTTTCATATTCATGCAGGTTCTGGTTGCCGAGGGTCTTGGCAAGTATTGTGACTCTGAGTTTGTAGGTCAAGCAACTCGAGAAATACAGGAAGCTCTAGATATGACGCCGGAGGAGATGAATATAGCCGCTCGTGAACTATTATCTAAGGAGCGAAGTTCTAGACTTCAAGCACATGATCAATCATCTTCACAAAATATTGCTGAACAACAACAACATCAGCGGTAACGAACCTTATGGATATTAAAACAACCAGTGGAAAAAACTATAATACGATTAACAGTTACGAAAGACAGAAAGATCCTACAAAAATGTCTGAAAGTTCGAAAACTGGTGAAAGTGTCATTGGCAATTAACAATGATTCTTTTAATTATTCATAGCATCCGACAAACGACCGAAGTTGTACCACTTACATTCTTAATTTACTCATAGAAAAAAATGCTCGTATGATTTATTTATCTCTTTCGAACATATGCATATCGGCGCTTGACATGCAATACCTCATATCCACCAAATGCCTTGTATGAGGTGGGACAGAAAAACATTTACTTTGGTTACCCTGTTTCAATCCCTCCCTACTTCACAAATTTAATGGTGAATAATTAAAGTATTTATTAAGTTCAGTTAGAAAACCATTCAAAAGCTCTGAGCAAAATAAGTTTGTTTGCTTATTTGTGAAATTTTCGGACTATCTTATACCGGGGACAGACATCTGGTATTTCTTCATAGCATTTCAAAAACACCATATGTATGTCACCAAATATTATAATATTCTTCAAAATACTACGTGAGCAACCTAATATTTTTTGAAGAAAGACTAAACCTTTCCGAAGGTTATAATTTTGTGGTATTCTCATTGTGAATGGGCATTTCGCACTGAACATACACAAAAATAACAGATGTCAGCTGCTTATCTATCAAAAAATTATTGAAATTTTCATGCGATTGAAGCCAAAAGTTTACGCCGGAAATTTTGATGCAATATATAGCAATTTTTGCATTTTTATGTTTATCTGTTGTTCTTCAGAAACATATGATTTGACACTGAAATACTAGGTTAATGTCTGTCACTATGGTAGTGTTTTACATTTCACAATAAAAATTTACCAGAATGCAAATACAAGACCCGGTATTACACTCAGAAGAAGGTGTAGTTATAGTTACCAAGATTTGGTTATAGTGACCAAGTGGCATAGTTTGATATGGCGAAATAAATATCTAGTTCACGAAACTCTGCAATTTACTTGAGACTTCTAGTTGGGACAAATGTATATTCGTTAATAACTACAAAACGACTACCTTGAGTGGACAATATTGTTAGTTGAATAAAATCATTGTTGAGCAAATATAAACAATGCTTTGGTTGATACTAGTTTTCAATTAATTTTGTGAACTTGCTGTAGACTTGAATCAGCTAACCGTTTATTATTGGAAAAAAGTTTCAGTTTAACACAAATACAAATTTACTCGATGGTTGTGTTTGGTTTCTTCTTTTATTTGCATATATTAAGCATAAAAAATACATACATATTTACATAAATAGTTACTAGCGTAAATAATACATATGTATATGGTGGTAAGCATTTCCTAAAAAGAAACGATGAAACAGGAACAGTCGTGCGAAAACCCTGGTCAATATCTGCTGGAAGTGCTGCTTTAAGTATACTGCTTTGCTTTTTCCTTGGCTAAATAGATACTTTCAACTTATAATTCACATAAATTATATATCCACTAAGAAACCCCGGTTGGCATCAAACTTTATATTTTTAAATAATTTAATGCGCACACCGAAACAACTCGCGGAGATGGCAAAACTGAAACTGAGACAAACAAACCTGGGCATGTCACACGATTGAGAGAATACAAAGGTTGCGCCGATCTCGACCGCTATTCCTCTCTTAACGAATTTGACAGAATCGTTGTTTGCATGACGTCACACTGGTGCAACTTGTTTACATTTTCCTTGCGACATTTTTTCTTCTTCTTCCATTCTTGCTCACGTTTTGGCATTTCTCTCTCGCAATTGCACCAGTGTGACGTCACACAAAAGTTATTCTCAAAAATCCTCTCTGATCGGCGCAATCTTGTATTCTATCATTCTTGGGCATGTCATAGCACACACTTTTCTTTCTCTACCTAGCGCAGTGATCGACATGCCATAGCTTACTGAGCGCTCTGTAACCACACGCATGTTTCACCCATATACGAACAGCGGTAGCGGAGCAATGATTTCCACGCACACAGTCTCATTCATTGAATCGTTTTTATGCAATGGTCAGCATACTAACGCATTCAAACGATGCAATAAGTGGGACTGTGTGCATTGCTTCGCTGGCGCTCTTCATGTGCTCAGAGAGCGCTAATCATTATTTAGGGGTGGCTCACAAGAATGAGTATGTTCCGCTCTCAAACCAAATCGCGGTTGCCTCAACTAAGATTTGGTAACTATGACTAAACCATGTGTTGAAATGTATTAGCAGAGCTTAATGACATCCTTTTATGAACCATACGTTAAGTTGAATGGAATTTGTAGAAATATGCTTCAAAAAAACATTTATTAGTATTTACCAAACCCTTCAACTAAATTAACGATTTGGTACAACCTAGATGAATATTAGAAGCTTTAATATATTTAGTTATTATTACCAACCCATGGTAATAATGCCCAATCCTTGGTCACAGTTCCCAAATATTGTCAAAATTCGAGAACTAAATATCTTAAGTTGTCGAAACTAATCCTTTTTATCAGTGTACTCGTGGTATTGCATTTGGCGGACATAAGGCACTGCCCACCAAGCGCCGATATGTAATCACTAATCAAAATAAGGAACACAGATTTGGTGAGCTATTAAGGCCTTAGAATAGCACTTCAACGATATATTGTTGGAAAATTGCGAAAGGACTTTATGCACATAAAAGATTAATTTAGTTATATATTATGTGCTCACATGTACATACATAAGTATAGCAGTACGGGATATTCAATTCGTAACTTAATTTATGGAAATTGTTAACTAAATAAAATTTTTATAAATGAAAACTTTTAACATATACATATGTACATAAACATGCACACATGAAGCTGTAGCACCTTTGGTAAGGAAAAAAGGAAAGGAAAGGGAAAAAAAGAGGGCACTGCATCCTGGCACTGAAATTTTGCCGTAAAATGTACACACGTATGTATGTGCTTATGTACATTAATGGATCCAGTGAATAAAATATAAATTAAAGCGCACCGTTGTATATATACCTACTTATAATTATAATTAAAAATCGAAAAACTCTTCACTAAACGTACATAAGTACATATGTATATGTATACATATGTGGAGTCAGGTATGAATGACTTATATACATATATGTACAATATAGTTAGTTAGCCAAACCACATGACCTTATGATATATGTATATGTTCTGCAGTGTATCAATTATATATGTAGATTAGGGTGATCCAAAATAAGTAACCTAACGAATTTGTGGCCTTAAAATGACCTTTTTACTGAGAAGAAAATTTTCCCATTTGGAAAAAATTTTACTCTAATTTTAAGAGGTGTCGATGGGCATTTGAAATTCTCCATGTAAATCACATGTAAAAAATTTGTTTTAATTAAAAATTTGGTAACTATTGAACCGTTTGAGATAAAAAAAAATTCTAGGCATATACTTGTAGGGCATTAAATTCTCTAAAAAATTACCCTGAAGGTTGTCTTAAAGCATAAACAGACGACAGCGTTGATCCGGATCAACTCGGGAATTAACTGCAGTTGATCCAGATTAAGTCCGTGTTAGTCCGGATCAACGCTGCCGTCTGTTTAAGCTTTTAGAGACTATTATAATAATAGTCTTAAGACTATTAAATATGTTAATGATATTTATTGCTGATCGAAGTATAGCGTTGATACAAAATTGTGATCGAATTTTGAGAAAAGACGAAGAAGAAAATCAATTTATTTTACAGGCAGCGCAATTACATCGCCAGCAATATCGTAATTGAAATAAACAGAATAACTGAATTCAACTCTCTCTTCTCTGACAACTTTACTTTGTAATCTACATTTTGTATCATTTTAGTGTAAGTTTTTCCATTTAGCATGAATATTTCCAATCATATGGCCCGAAAACTGCACATTTCTGCTTTTTTTGACTTTCATATCCCGTAAGTATTCATATACATTTCAGAGTTTAGACAATCAAAATTAAGGTATTTTTTTGGAGAATGCCCTACAAAAATATGCCAAGAAAAAAATGTATCTCGAACGGTTCAATAGTTACAACATTTATAATGAAAACAATTTTTTTACACGTGATTTACATGGAGAACTTCAACTGCCCACCGACACCTTTTAAAATTGGAATACAACATTTATAATGAAAACAATTTTTTTACACGTGATTTACATGGAGAACTTCAACTGCCCACCGACACCTTTTAAAATTGGAATACAACATTTATAATGAAAACAATTTTTTTACACGTGATTTACATGGAGAACTTCAACTGCCCACCGACACCTTTTAAAATTGGAATACAAATTTTTCCAAAAAGGAGAATTTTCTTCTCAGTAAATAGGTCCTTTTAAGGCCATAAATTCGTTATGTTAGTTATTTTGGATCACTCTAACATACATGTATATACTTATTCGTATTATATGTATAATACGTAGTATACAGATATCCGTAGGTGTGGACTAGGAATGTTAATCCCTTTTAAGTCCGAAAAATCCCGGGATTATTTGCCTAGAATTCCTGGATTTTCAGGATTTGCAATTTACACTGGTGGCAATAATAGAAACGCTTTATGTTGACCAGTTTTGGCTGTATTTCTTTTGCTTATTTAATATTTAACATTTTGTTTATAAACGTTTAGCTCAATATATATATAATACCTCGGCAGGCAATTTTGCACACAAAAATAAATCAATATATTCGCCAAATATAGTAAAATTGCGTTCTTAATTTTTCTCTCTGATGTCAGGATTGTTTAAAAGAAAAAAAGTATTAGCAAATTTTAGTACATCTAAAATTTCTGAGGCGTTGTTTACATTTACTTGAGAATTGTCAAAATCGGCAAATCCCAAGAAGCGCTGCCACATTTGTTCGCTAGATCGTGATGTGATAAAAAGAAAAGCTGGCAGCACTCCGCAAGTTTGCAAAAAAATGTACCTATGTTCGAAAAATATCTTGATATGGAAGGAACTGCCTACTATTAGCAACTTCAATCTTGCACTTTGTTATACTAAAATGAATTTTTTTAGAGCCTAATTAAAAAGTTTGGAATTTAGGTGATACCTTGCAGAATTTTTTAAATTTTTTTACAAAGTTTGATCCAAAATCTGAGATCTACCACATTTTTGTTTTGAAATCTACCACATTTTTTGCCAAATTCTAACACACAGAATTTTTTTAAGTCCGATCACTGGTCCATGTAATTATAAAGCGCAGGATAGTATCTACCATTTAACAAGCTTACGACTTTAGCCAAATTTAGAACACTTTCACCAAAATATTTGCGACGAATATTTTTATACATTGGGCAGGTACCAATGACATGTAACATATTCTCCGATTCACATAGATTGCAGATCGTACAGGTATCTGAAATGACCTTTTTGTACTCTCTTGCGTTTAAATTGAGTAGGCCACTTCTAGCACGAAAAATTAGACTTATAGCATGAGCGCTATATTGGTCATTAAAATACATAGTATCACGATAGTTGCAGAATTCCCTCTCTACTAAATTGCTTAGAAGCAACGATATATACGTGGCAACGGAATCAGGGGAAAAGTCACTAAGAGGATTCATATTTACGGTATCAGCGATATGATGCCATTTCTTTACCCAGTATGTATTCAACCGAATGGACTCTTACGCAAGAATACGGGGAAGCCTGTTAGGTGGTAGCTTTAGGCAACGCAAAATGAAAAACATATGCAAGCGTATGGACATACTGAGGTAGTAACTTTGTTTCAGCATGTGCAGCATGTAGTTCGGTGTATTGGAAGGCAAAAAGATAACCTTTTTTTATGAAAAAACGCAAGGGTTCCACAGATTCATATTTTTCTACGCCGCACACTTGAGCTCCGTAGAACATTATCGATCTGGAGCAGGTATCAAAATTTTTTAGCTTCTTAGAGATGCAAATCCTTGGATTATTTACATACTTTAACCAGGTAGCATTAATAGCAATTTTTNGAACTTCTTTCAACTAGAAAATAACTTTTTTGATCTATT